AAAAAACGAACTTTTTAAAATTAGGAAAAAATGTAATTTAAATAAAGACAATATGAAGAATGAATCATTTGAAGAGATAAAATCTAAGAAAAAAGGAAAATTGTTCTCTAAATCTTTTTTCAATTAAGAATTTTTTTATTTCATACATGTTATTTGGTGAAAGAACAATGAAACAATTTTCACTCCATTCATTTCCTAAAGAGAGTGGAAATATGTTGATCATAAAGATGCTGTGAAGTGAGAATATTTCAATCATTTAGAGACTCTGCTGTCTTTCCTGTACTTCCTGTCACATTTAATTTGGCCTTTGATCTTATTGATTGACAGACCTGGTTTCTGTAGGCTGAGCCAGAGAGGTTGACCCTCCTCTTCAATGTCTCACAGGTTTGAGCCTGTTGATTTTTGACACATGTCCTCTGCTCTCAGTCCCATTTCAATCCCGGCTGCTCATTTTCCTTTACCTAATAAACACAGAGGCCACCATTGCGGAAAAAAATAACATAAATATTTGCTGTCTTTTGCATCAAAAGCCTCTCACCATAAGTGCTCGGGTTAGAGGTTCTTACACCAACCTCCTGGCTCTGCACTGGTGTCAAAGAAAGTTCTCAGTCCTGGAACTTGCTGGGATCTCTTAAATGTCTTCAAACTTCTTCACTTTTACTGAATGTCTCTTCCTAAAGTTTAAGATGATTGACGCTCTGAGCAGCTCTTTCCCTCCATGTGAACAGCTGTATGCGGTTTGCGTAGTCTGTATTTTTTATTCCTAACCCTCACTTTGATACCCCTTACAAATGAACCCCCCCTTCATGTCCCGCGGTGAGGTCTAGAAGCACAAGATCTATATCCAGCCATTCAGCAAAGATGCTGCTACATGGCTGTACATCTTATTTTGACATTTCACCAATTAGATGAGCCCTTAAATGAGATATTACCTACTAGAAATTGAGTTGGAAAAAAAGTTAACTTAAGAAAAAAAGGTAAAAATCTAATTGAAAAGTTAAAAAGTTAATTAGCCTAGTTAACAATTATATTTAGGTTTTTAAAATAAAAAATATAAGTGCCAGAATCAGCATTAATGCCTCTAAGGTTATGTTGGACCAAAAAAAAAATGTTTCTTTCACTCTCAGTGTGTTTTTCATGAATTTCTTATAGAAACACTTTTGTACGGAGCCTCTAAAGGGACATGGAGGGAAAAAAATTAATTATTTTAAAAAATTATTTGCGAGATCCCGCAAAACTTTGGCGAGATCTCGCAAAAAAAAACTTTTGTGAGATCCCGCAATACTTTTGCAAGATCTCGCAAAAGTATTGGGGGATCTCGCAAAAGTATTGCTGGATCTCGCAAAAGTATTGCGAGATCTCGCAAAAGTATTGCGGGATCTCTCAAAAGTATTGCGGGATCTCGCAAAAGTATTGCAGGATCTCGCAAAAGTATTGCAGGATCTCGCAAAAGTATTGCAGGATCTCGCAAAAGTATTGTGGGATCTTGCAAA